CGAGCCTCTCGTCGTATCGATAGATTGTTTACGTTACTATCTGCTTCATGGTTGTGCAATAATACCAAAAGTAGGAATGAATCACGTATATTATTTTTATTAATGATTATTACTTAAAAATGACATAGGGCCTAAGCCATAATTTTATAGAGCTTTGATAAATACGGTGTACGTCAGAAAGAAAGCACATAGCTACCACCACATCCACGAACTTTTTCTAGGCCCCAAAATGGGCAGCGGACTGGGCTTGAATTGGTGTGCACCTGATCTATAAATGGGCGTTTCAGTCCATGCATCCAGTTTATTTTGAGATAATTACAGACGTGTTTGTTGAGAGACAAGTGCGTAAGTCAAAAGTAGTAAATAGGGCAATAATATTATTTATTTATTATTACTGATGGTGATGTTGTTGCACTGAATAGTACTACAATATTTTATTATTATTTAATACTAGGCCAGGTGCGTTTGTACCCGTCATCACCAATTGAAAAATCAATCCGTCGAAAGAATTCAAGCACTGACAATGAGAAACTAGTCATTGTAGCAAAAATGGAAAAGATCGACATGGCAGGCCAATGTATCACTACTATCCACCTAGGTTTTCAAGCATTTGTTTATCATCAGTGTGTGCTCCATTTCTAATACCGATCAAGTAATATGGTGCCAGGGGTAATTCCACATTCGTTACAACAACATTCGACACAAGTTGGAAAATTAAAGGAAATGAAAATATTGTATGTTTATATTAATAGATATGTGAAATTTTAATAATAATAATACAGTAATACTGTATTATAGGACTAGGCCTAGGCTAGGAGGAGGTAGGCCACACTTAATAACTTAATAAGTTGGCCTTTCGCGAGTAAATAAAAAAGGTACAGTAAAAACGAGGTGAATTCACTACAACTACAACAGTACCTACATTCATGTATGTGTTGTTTGTTGAATTATCGTTGTTTTGTAACGTCTTTGTAACGTGTTATAAAACTAATTCCTCCATGCTTATAACATTTAGTTGTAGGCCTAGGCCTATGTAATATATTTCAGACATGCCTAGGCCCTACATAGGCTAGCAATAGCATAGCCGACTTGGTCTCAACGTGCATAGAAACATCACAATAAATTCGTAAACCTTCACAATTGTCTCTTTTGTCGTTACTCACTTTGGAATGGAAAAATCCGATGTTTTTTGGTTTCTTTTAGGTGTAGGTACTGTAGGTACGATATCATAAATCCTTATTCTTTCATCATAAATAAATAGTTCATGTGTATTAAAAATGGATAGTGTTCGCGCGTTTTATACATGTGACAGTGTGTGCGCGCGTAACAAACAAAAGTTATAATTTTGTAATAAAGCGCTAGCTAGAAAAACGTATTTTTTATTCAGTCATTCATAGCGCAAAGACAAAGACATGGATATGCCTAGGTAAGATATAGGCCCTAGTAGTAGAAACTTGAACCGTGAAGGCGAAATTTTCGATCTCCCTGGCCTCCAGCGTCTTTTACCGAAACCGCCGCAAATTCAAGATTGCTTTATCGTCAACCAAAAAATGGGATGGGATTTTTTTTTTTTGCTTGCTGCATAGGCCTAAACAGAAGACAGTAAAAAAAGGCAATTAAAACCAAAAAACAAACAACCTACGCTAAATAAATACGGTACTAGGCCTAGTAGGCCTAGGCCTACGGACTTTTGCAAGATTTGTTTAAAAGATGTTCAGCCGTAAACAATGAGAGGTACCTGTAACTTGGTAAGTGATATTACTTATTGAATTACAGTCATAGGCCCACCAGGCTAGACCTAGCCTAGGCCCTACTACTAATCAAAACAGAAAAAAAATGGCAGGACATGTAAATTAACAACTGCAACTGGGAATTTGAAGTAGGTCTTGGTCTATAGGCTACAGGGGCCAGGGAAGTTAAGACCACCTCATCCCCATCATTGATTAGGGCAGCCAAGTTATAGACCGTAGAAGACTCTTGGGATACAAGTAGGGCCTAAACAAGTAATGCGAGGATCCCGAAACCCGGTACTTAGCATAGGCTACTTGTTTTATTTGCCGTACTAGGCCTCAGGCCCTAGCCTGGATGGATTCTTTTTCTCACTGGACTTGATCGTCTTGATCGATTTTTAATGTAGACACAGCAAGATCTCTCAGAGCTAGGCCTAGTTTGCATTGCAAGCCCAACGTCGTTTTGAATCCACATAAAGTGATCATCCACGAAGTGAGCACACGAATTCTTTTGACTTGTGCTCATCCGGCCCATGAAAATTTGAATTGTAAAATTGACAAATTTAACTCAACAACTTCTTTTACTATCTTTAGGTAACGTAAAATATTTACTTCGTGTGCACTTATAACCCCCTACAACACAATTTACTGGCATATTGTGTAAAACTCGGGAAACTATGTAATATACTAACAGCCTAGGGTAGAAGTTCGGGCTTTTCTTCCTCCGCTAGGCCACCGTCGCAGTGTTTGTTTTGATTTCGCGCTTGGATGAAGTTTGGCAAAGTTGGTCACCAATGACGTCATTGAGTGACCTCTTTGTTTCTAAGGTCTTTCAAAAATGACACTTTAAACTCATTTTTTTAGTACAAAATCAATTTTATTCGTAATATATGACAAACACTTGTATTTATAATATATTTATAAATATAAACACGCTGTAGTTTATAAAAATTGTCAGAATAGGTGGCAGAGGCACTTTAAAATTTAAATACCCTCCGGGCCAAACATTGTTTACTTTCACCTAAGTCAGGCGGCAGCCTACCCTCCCGTAGCGTAGGCTATTTTTAGGGAGCCTAGACCTAATTTTGTCTATGGAAGACTGCTAGAAACATTTGAATTATATTTTAAAAACATATTAGTTAACTTGTCTGTGTTATTTATTACGCCATAAACGTCTAAATGCTAGGCCTGCCTAGGGAAAACACGTGTATTTTAAAGGCCAAACATGGTCATTTTTAAACTTAAATAAAATTTTTACCGGAACAGTTGTCAGAGAGATTTTTAGAGGATAATGCAGAAGTCAAATAGTATTAACATGGAGCATTATAGCCATGTAAACTTTACATGCCAGATTTTCTTAAGTTTTGGGTGAAAAACATGGAATAAATTCAAATACTCACACGTAGTAAAATCAGGAGCCATGACATCGTACCTATGTTATATTACGGAACTGTTTAGCATGTCTTCTTCGATAATATCATGAATATTCATTATTTTTTTTTATTTTAAAGCTGTTGGTCATTTAAAAACCCACATATGGAGAATAATGAAAATATCGCTTCCGCATTAGCGCCCCCAACTACGAGAATATCTAAAATGTATAATAGTGACCAACAGAGGGCTCACTACACATTGTCTATATTGAAAACCGCCTTGTACTATGGAACACAGCCCGGCTTGAGATAAGCCACCTAGTTCAGACTGGCAGGTGGATAAACCCGGTGAGTTGAGCCGGGTTTATCCACCTAGTCCTAACTAGACGCATGTGTTTAATTGTGTTTAAGTGGTTTATTTAAAAAATTACGAAGTTACCTAAAATTAAAAAAGTGTTATGTCTGAATCTGGGAGGCATTTGGAGCAAGTGGCTAATGTGGCTTCTCAAGCTATTGCGCGTGCCAGAGACCACGTCAGGCATAGGCCTTCTACTACTACTGCTGCCAGTGCTACGAGTAGGCCTAGCCTAGTAGTAGTAGTAGGCCTACTACCACCACGTCTTCTAGGCCTAGTAGTACTACCACCGCGCCTGACCTAGGCGGGCCGCCAAGGCCTACTGCTGTGTAATGTGTATTTATTATTATTAATCCTAACTTAACAGGCTTAATTAAGGCTTATAGGCCTAGGCCCAGGACTATCATTAAGTAATATTATATTAGCAATAACGTTCTGTTATTAACCTAGAATTAGGCCTTTAGGAGGGCGTATACGTGATAGTTTGAAACTGTGTTTTTCCTTGTTCATCTGCCGCTGTGGGCCTAGACCTACCCCTATTGCTCGAGCCCCTCTACCACCCTCCTCAGTTCGTCCACATGGTCAATCATATTGTATTGATTGTACCACTTCCTCCAATGACTGTTGGTCTAACGTCGCAGAAATCCTATTTACATTATGAATACATGTTCTTAAATTATTCTGTAATTGATTATAATCAGTGTTTCCCTGTTCTAATGTTGCAGTTACATTACGAACAGTTTGTCCAACGGTAGAAAGTACATCATCAGAATGATCAGACGCAATTTTTATTAAATTTGAACGACCGTTTTTATGATTTGTTTTTTACCGGGCAAGTACGACCGGAAAAAGCACATCAGCCAATCACAGTTACTTAATGAAAATACACCATAACTGTAATTCAATCAACTGTGGCTGACCAATCATATAGCACTGATATTACGTAAACGCAAACAACCAATCGTATTCACTTAACGCTAATTACAACCAACATCTGAATTGCAGTTAACTTGAATTGCATTATAGTTAACTGGAAATGATTTGCAGTTAACTTGAAATGCATTCAAGTTAACTGCAAATGTTTTCGAATTAAGCCGAAATAGACATAATTGAAATAGATTTGCAGTTAACTTTAAATAAATTACACTTAACTCAAAAACAAAATTTTAATTGCAGTTAACTGCAATTGAATTCGAGTTAACTGTAATTGAATTAGAGTTAACTGTAATGTATTGCAGTTAAGTCGAATGTATTACAGTTAACTGTAATTGAATTAGAGTTAACTGTAATGCATTCGACTTAACTGCAATTCAGAGGTAAATGATAAAACGGCTTGCCATATGTGCGCCTAGAATGTCGATGCCAGAGTTATAACCTTTGATGTCCCGAGATGTGCATCCTTCTGTTGAATTGCCTTGATCCATCGGGGCCGGATCCAGAGATGTCAAAAGAGGGGGGAGGGGGTGGGAGATTGAGCCTACACAGCGCTCGGGAATCCTCAGCCCCGTCACCCTTTTAGGAAGTTAAAAAAGGGGGAAAATTGATCGCATAAAATGCCTCAGAGGTTACATTCGAGCGTCTGTATAGAATAGAAGACAAATATTTCGCTCGGCCCCATTTTCGGTTCCCCTGTCGGACATCTCTTGGTCCGCTCCTGCCGGCAGGAGCCCTGACCATATAAGGTAAATGAAATATTAAAGAAACAAGGTTGAATAATTTTTTTTAAAAATCAGAACCATACAACGAGAGGTGAACACACGCGTACACATTCACTGCCATGGCATGTGTTTGCACCTACCCTACTTCACTCTTTGCAGTAGTGTGCCCACACATTCCTGAAGCGGTCCAAACACATGGCTTGGCCACAGACATGCTAACATTAGGCATATCTGTCTAACCAACTTAGCCAAATGTCAGCATATCCCAACCAGAGCTAGGCCTAGCGGTCCTTTGACGCAACTACCGATAATACTCGTGACAAATGCTCAGGCATTGGTTAACAAATTTGGTGAACTTGGTGTTATTCTTAAAAGCGAAAAAGTTGACATTGGTGTATTTACGGAATCATGGTTCAACCTGCATCTTTCTGATGAACAATTTAACATAAACGGCTACACAATTTACTCTTCTAAGAGTAGAGAGAATAAACGTGGAGTCGCTATCTATGTTAAAAACGGTGTAGAGTCGTTTAGACCCTGAGTCGTTTAGACCCCGAGTCGATTCGGCCCCGGGTCGTTTCGGCCCGAGTCGTTTCGGCACAGGTCGTTTCGGCCCTGAGTTGTTTCGGCCCTGAGTTGGTATTTTTGTAATGCATTTCGACCGCGGTGTATGGAGCGCCGAAGGTGTGGCCGCGAATAATAATTTAATAGAACAAGGTGGCTAAACAGTACTGTTTGTTAAACATGAAACTTAGGCTATATTATTACTGCAACATTATCAGATATTAACAATTCTTTTTAGTAGTATTTTATTATTATTATTATTTCTTTTTAGTAGTATTTTATTATTATTATTATTAAAGAATTCATTGCAGTATCAAATGGTGTTATCTTTCTTTTTACAGAAACAACACAAATGTTACAAGTCGATTGGTTTGGAGAAACGCTTCTTTTTATCGTTTCCATACGATATATTTTTGGATCATGTTTATAAATGCTTCAATAAAATTTAGATTTATAAAATAAGTAGGCTTATAGTTAATTCAGTGGATTACTTTGTCATAAGTTTGTTCTTTTTTTTTGTTTTTTTGTTGCGTCTCCATTTAAATTACCAAACGTTCTATTTATAACAATACATAGGCCTATGTAAAATATATTAAAATATACTGAATGACGTGATAATGAAAATAAAGCAAATATATTATCGTATTCATAAGACCGACAAACTCACTTATTGCATAGAAATTAACTAAAGAAACTATAAAAATCGGAAATAAACAGCCACAAACAGGTTCCCACGGTACTCTTTAGGGTGAAGCAGTCGTCTCTACATGCTGTGATTCTAGAAAGAATTGGTCTTCTAATGTGCCTACCTCCACGCTTTTCCCCTCGTCTACGTATAAGTCTAGACATTAGGAGCGGTGAGGGACTATGATGAACGACAGGCAATTTTGTCTCTTTCTAACAGCTACGAGAAAGAGCGGGTTTACTCGCACAAAACACCAAAAAAAAGTCAACAAAAGTTCACAGCACAGGCAAAACCAGCAAAAAGGATACAGACAAAACCAAAACGACACCAAAATACGAAAATAACTACATATTTAAAACAGTCCTGCGAGCAGCAGCAAAAAAAATTTGGAGCGGCAGAAGAACAGCGCCAGCAAAAACCTTTCTCTCATGCAACTGACGCAGAGTACGCACGAGTAAATATTTAAGAAAAGATTACGCTACTAGGAAGTGATATTTAAATTACGTTTGCTGCGTAGACTTACAACCCAATGGAGTTAATTTTTTGTTTGAAATAGTTAGGAATTGAAAAAAAAAACCATAAAGCTCTGAAAGAAATTAAGAATAAAAAATAGTTATTTTCATTAAACCGGACAAACAAAATGGAGTAGCCTTCGTGATAAACAGAGATGATTACTGTTCTAAATTAAAGGCAGACCTACAATTATGAGAGAAGGAAGTCTCCAACATTTTCCAAAGAAATTATAAATCACACAAGATAGATTCCCACCCGAACTTTTTTTTTTTGCATGCATTTGGGAACGTACTGAATACTCAGTACATCTTTTCGAAAAAAACTTTTAGTTTTTATTAGATACATTAATGCATTCATACTATATGTTTATAATTGATATTGCATACCTGGACAGTGTAGATAGTATTCGGCATTATATTTTCATTAATTGTCAGTGAAGTCGCTGTTATATCCATATTGAATTCTAAACTCTGTACATCACTATATACAAGCACATTGTATCCTAGTATTGTGCAAGGATTATCATCAGATAATGTCAATTCCAGTGTGATTGATGAAGACGTTGATGTTAACGAACTAATGGTTGGTTTTCCAGGATCTGTGGGGGTATATATTAATATAATAATAATACTACTACTAATAACAATAATAATAATAATAATAATAATAATAATAATAATATTATCACTATTCATTATTATTGTTATTATTATTAATTATTATTGTTATTAATAGTAGTAGTAAAAGTAGCAGCACCTGTATGCATCAAACTCACTAATTATTTTGTTCTAATTGGATTTATTTTGCTACAGTACACCTCAAGAAAAAATGTTTACTATTTTCTTTTTCTCATTTACCAATAGTGTACTTGATCTATCTAAAATACAATTTTTATTTGACTTTTATCATTCTTTTATGAAAATTTATGCAATTGTGTGTGTTAGTTTTAAATATCTTTGCTTTTCATATTTTTACATTTTTAAACTTACATTTTTATAATATAGTTAATCATGTAGTTAAATTTAATTTTCTGTGGCTTCAAACAGAATTTATTAATTTTTCCAGACAAGTGCCTTAGGGCTCCAAAGCAACAAAGTCACCATGACATAATTCTGATTTTTTTTCCCAACATGATTGACTTTTGATTCATTTTTAAATCATTTGTAATTATAGACTACAGACTATATAATAGTTGTTTTCTCACCATTAGGTTCGCTTCATTTATAGAAAGCAATCAAATGCATCACAGGGTGTCAATGTCTTACGGAAGCAATATTAACAGATGTTATAATTACCACTTTATGAGTATTATTTTACTTCCACTGGCACGCAGATTGAAACAATTTATTTTACTGAATTACAAACAGTTTACTCGTCTTTTAAAATTGATTATTAGTGTTTTATTTAAAATTAAACAATATAATGTGTATAATATATTGTCAAGCATTGAATTATGTAATGGCATTTTATAATTTAGAAATTACATACAATATAATATAGGGAAGAAGGGAAGAAATTAAATAAAAAATAAATTAAGAAAAATATTTACAATGTGTTTCAAATAATACGTTCTTTGCATTTGCAAAAAAAAATCTTACAGTCAACACCAGACATGACCTCCATAATATTGGTGGTGCTGCTAACATTCATATGCGATGCTGAAACTGAAAATGTGTACTGTGTACAAGGTACAATTCCGTCATCTATAAGAACTTCAGTTTTTGTTGTACTTCCTTGATGGATTCCTCCTGATAGTTGATAATGGTAACTCAAATTATTCTGGGTGCTGTTACAGGTAGCAGCATTCCATTTCATTAATAAAAACGTTCCTTCCAGTTTTGAATCTTTGGTGATTGAGGGCGCTGTTAAAAGACAACAATATTTATTATTATTGTTATTATTATTATTATTATTATCATTATTATTATTTAGATACAATGGCTCCAATAACAATAAAAAATTTTAATTACAATAAAGCACTTGCAGACAAAATCCATTGCTATCACCTTCTTACTAAATTGATGATTTGTAGCAGAAAGAAACAAGTAGCTTTTGTGAGTAGTTGTTGTCATCTGGTATATACATGAATTTTCTGTTTAATTTATCTAAGTAATTAATCTGATTTGTGGGACATTAGCACTTTTGTGAGCTATTTGCTATAAAGCTAAAAATTTTGTTTGTCAAGTTGTACCAAACTTAGGTACAAAACCAAAAGAAATAATTGACCGATTTGTGGCCTGCTATAATGGCAAACAATATAAAATCATATAAACTAGACTTCACTAAATCATAATTATTTCACCCAGAGGTGGCGCCAGCATCCCCTCTCACGTCATGGAAAGCTGCCACCCCCCACCCAGGCTGGGAGGAAAACACACTTCTCAGGTTCTCTGGAGAAGCAAAAATCGTGTGTGTGTGTGTGTNNNTTGTTTGGGTCTATACCCTAGCTGCACTGATGAGGCCTGGAAGGCCGAAACGGATCCGTCTGCAGATATTGGGATTCCTTCCAGTGGATGCTTAGTTTATTTTGTCATTCTGATCGGATTTTCTCTACTGTTCCATTTTAATTTCATTTTAAATTGTTTTGCATTATGTGGCCGTTTGCTGTTTTATGGGTTTTCCCATTTGCCTTTCAAACTTGTATATTATTAAAGAATCTCTTATTGAGATCCAGCGGGCCGCCATTGATGCACGGTAGAGATTGCATCTTTAGATCTCCGATCTTGTTCACAAATTCACGGACTAGTGCTGTCTCGGTAAGAATTTCGTAGGACGCATTAAGAATGACAAAATATTCTCTGTATCTACTGGAACCGAGCCACATAGCTTGTATTCCACAATTTGCATTCACACCTGGGATGTGTATATATATTGCCTTGGTTTGGCTCTGTAATCAGTGGTCGTGGGACTAGGTTGGGCCCTACCTAAGCTGGTCGAGCGTTTTGCTTGGGTCTATACCATAGCTGCACTGATGAGGCCTGGAAGGCCAAAACGGATCCGTCTGCAGATATTGGGATTCCTTCCAGTGGATGCTTAGTTTATTTTGTCATTCTGATCGGATTTTTCCTACTGTTCCGTTTTAATTTTATTTTAAATTGTTTTGCATTATGTGGCTGTTTGCTGTTTTATGGGTTTACATATATACATATATACATACATATATATATATATATATGTATGTCAAGAGTAAGATTTTAAAAATAATGCGTTGCTTGACGAGCAACCAGTGCAAATCGCACAAAACTGGAGAAATGTGGTACAGCCTTTGGTGCATGGAACTGAGTTTTGGACTTTTTGAAGAGATGACAGAAGGTATTTGGTAGGCCATATAAAAGCGAGTTATTGCATTTAAGGGGTGATGAAACAAGTCAGGCATGAGCGAACCCACTTGCCCGATGCCCGGGACAAGTGTTTTTTTCCGGTCGGACAAGAATTTCAGGGACTACTTGTCCGTGGACAAGCACTTTTAGAAAAGGCTACTTAACCAAGTAATGCGTAATGATTTCACAGTATTTATAAGAAGTCTGACTCTTCACAATACGCAGCATATTTTATTAACAAATTGTCGGTGCACAAAGAAATATCAAACACTGCGGGGATCAACTTTGAGTCGCCAACACTCCCGCGATTTATGGATGGTTCAAAAGCCATTAGTAGATTAGTAGAGTTGGACGACATGACTGACTTCAAGACTAGTATTTACTTTCAAGTACGAATATGAACAGCAGCCATTAGGCCGACTTCAAAAAATTTGTTTGCGCGTGTGGGGAAGGCAATCTAGACTGCCTAAAAGGTAGTTTAATTGGGATTTAAAGTTGTTAAAATAATTTAAAAATCATTCACTTCTAGTGATGGAGATAATGTCTAAAATCTAAATCTTGTAAAACTAGAGTTAAAAATTGAGGGTTTAGGGATGAATTATTTTCCCATCTCAAAAATGTCGCCGTCTCGGAGATTCTCAGGAAGGGATTTGTCCCCTCGGCCCATCCTCATAGGCCTACAGTGCTTTTCTTTGGTTGAGAGGTAAGCAATGTCATTTATTTTGCAATAAATACAATCAGGATGTGTGAGGCTGTAAAATATTCCGAGCGTAAAATATTGGGCCCAGAAATCCGTCGACGCAATTCAAAAATATGAGCCAATTTCCACGGATATTTTTGCAGAAAATTGAGGCCTTCATAGTAGGAACACAAGTATTTACGATTCTGCGCATCTATTTTTCTAAGGGTTTTCCTGTGCAATTTGAATTTTGTTTGTATCCTCCACAAAAAGAAATACATTTTGAAGTTAGTATTCATTGAAGAAATTCCCTCATGCCTGCAAGTATATTCTGTTGTATTTTTATCTAAATATTTGCGAATCTGGCCAATCTTGTAGATCCCAAAAGGGACTAAGACATACATTGCAAATGTGTTCTTTCAGATTCAATTTTTCACCCAGCTGAACACCCAGATCTCTGACTGAAAAAGAAGCAGCGATGTGTGTACCACCAATGTTGACATATGGGAGCATGGAACTTTCACAGTACCTCAAACTAAAGTGGATCAGTTCGGTCTTTGAATCATTAAGCATGAGTTTATTTTGAATGGCCCAGGAGCGGACATCTGCGGTGTAAGATTTGAGTCTATTTACAGATTCAGAGTGATGTATGGGCTTCATGATTAAATAAAATTGTGTGTAATCAGCATAAATCAATTGTTGAATCTTCTCGTGGGCACAAATGACATTGCTAAGCGGTCTTGTCAGAATGAAGTCAAGCGGACATTTTACAGGACCTTGGGGAACACCACAAGGTATAGTGAACTCATCTGAAATTGAATCCTTCACAATGATGGCTTGTTTACGTTTTTCGAAATATGAAACAAACAAATTAAGATTAATTAATTAATTATATATATATATATACTGTATATATATATATATTCTAAATTGGCATTTTAATATGTGTTTTACTTCAAATAACTTTTATCTGTAAATTAATTCTAAGAAATTATTATCGAGTTATAAAATATTTTAAAAATGAATTCGATTTTAATTTTTGGTTGATGAACTTTCACCCCCTGTGATTCAGTTGGTAAGAGTTGTGGGCATAAATGTTAACCCTACCCCAAATCAATCTTAATGCATGACATGGACACACCCATACAGTACTCCATTAGTTCATACTTACTCGGTAATTAGGTATCAAAATTGAGAAAATATATTTATTTAATAGTTAATAATAATAGAGCAGCCACCTCTAAGGTACATTGCCAGTTTTCAGCATCATAATTGCTATTTTAAAGAAAGTTTTCCATTTGTATGAAAATTTAATATTGAATGCATAATATAGACACGCCCACATATTTTCTGAGCTACCTGGAGCTAAGAAGTTAGAATAATATAATGCATGTATTTTAGTATATAATTTACTTCAGCTAACTTTTATCCATTTTAATTCAATTTTAAAGGGATACAAAATCTATTACAAGTTCATATTTTGAGTGAAATTCAGTGTTGATCTTTGGTTGATGATCTTTTGAACACATGTGACATAATTAACAATGTAATTACATTGTCCTTTATACCAAATGATAGGAAATGTATTATTCTACACTTTGATATTACAAACAAGAAAATATATTCAGTTGGTAAAAAGTTGTGGGCATACATATTAATCAACCAAATTAAAATGCTGTACAAAAACAGGTACCTATCGTTGATGTTGGTTTACATGCACTGGCAACCAGAAATCGCTTGACTAACAAGGCATTTCTTAAAGCTTAGACATAAAGGTAACTAAAAAAAATAATGACATGTATAAAGCAGGGGATGCACCATTTTAGTTCCTAGCCCCTTGCATATAAAATGTATAATATTAAAGAAAACATTAACCTGTGGGTGCTGATTGTACCGATATTGGTGTTCCCCAATCTCCAGTAATTTCTGCGTTATTAACAACTCTAGAGTCGACGTGATAAAAAACACATCCTGGTGATAATTCCGATATCTTGACTTCTGTTTGCAAACTGTCCGTTGTGTTGAGGATGTCCTGTTCATTTCCATCTTTGCTTTGGTATCGCACTTGATATCGAAGTATATCATCGCACTGGATTCGCTCTGGAGCATTTGATACAGCCTTTTACATAAAAAAGATACTAAAGGCTAAATAGCTGTCATTAATATCTTCATTTAAAATTATTTAATGCTCAATAAATCACATCTACCTTGTTTATTAAATATGCTTACTCACCTTTAATGTTAAGATAATATCATTACCATCAACTGTTTCCAATTCTATTTCTGGATCTTCTAAAGGCTCTTTAAGAAAAGAAACAATTATTGTAATTTTAATTATCAAGGCTACATGAGTTTATAGCTTAGAAAATGAAAACATGAACATAATTTATACCGACGTTCCTCAAACTATGGTCCGCGGCCCAAATTTGGGCCGCGAAACATTTGTGGAGGGCCACAAAGCCGCCTGGAAATTGAAAAAAAAAAACAAACAAAGAGACGTTTCATTGACATTTTTAAAAGTTTTGGAAGGAGAAAGCTATGACGTGTGTGGTTGAACCGTGTTTGGTTGAATCATGGTAGAAAAAAAAACAATCAACAATTGTTGGGGAGGGGGAACACAATATACGGTATTATTTATTTAATAAAATAATATTTAATTTGTATACAATGAAATTTTATCACTGAAAGAACAGATAATGATGTTTAGTTTCAAGTTTAGTTTATTCAGAGTTTCACATAATACATTAAAAATATATCAATTGAATATAACAAAACGATGAACCTGTACACGATGTATTATGTGTGGTGACTCCATTAAGCTAAGACAGGCTTTAGGACTGAGCTACCAGAAAACAATCAATTAATGAAAAGCAGCATGACTATTAAGTAAGAAAAACTTAAGATCTGAAAAGAGAAATATCTAAATACAAAGATAATAATCAACAAATAAAACAAAAATAACTTCTTATATAACAAAGAAAGTGTCGAGAAAAAATTAGCAGTCATGATTAATTATTTATTTGAAGGAGCAAATTTGAACATTAATGGTAGTTTGACTTATAAAATGTATTGGTGTAGTAAATATTTCTTGTGTTTATTTTTCAGATTAAGTATTGTCATTGATAACATAATATCTAAGGGTAAATTATTCCATAAATTTGGTCCATTAAAAAAAAAGAGTTTTTCCTGAGTGCTGTTGAATATTTTTCATAGATAAAATGTTTCTGAATAGATGATCTATTTTCATAAGAATGTAGTTCACTGAAATTTGTAAAAAAAAAGAGTTAAATTGAGGAGGAAGCTGATTGTTGGTAAAACGAAACATGAATAAGATAGTTTGTAGTTTATTGATAGAATATATTTAATGTTTTTAGAGAATAAAATAATTGTCTTGTATGGGACCTTGGAGGCACCCCAGCGCGTACCCCAAGTGCCTTCTTTTGAAGCTTAAAAAGACAAAGAATTTTTATGTTTCTGAACTAGCCCATGGGTTAAATTGTGTAAATTTAGAAACGGTTGTGGCCCATGCAATACTGCAATAATACAAGTATGGAAGGATGAGGGTATTGTAAAGTGATACCAAAATGTTGTATGGAAGAATATGCTGTAATCGCCTTAACATCCCAACATTTTTAGAAATTATTGTGTTTATAGCTGCAATATGAATTTGCCAGTTTAATTTAGAATCAATTAAAACCCCAAGAAATTTTAAGTTGTTGGTTCTATTTATTGAGTGCCCATCGATAATAATATCAGAAGGTAAAGTATTGTTGGACTTATTATTATATGTGAAGTAAATAAAATTAGTTTTCGATAAATTTAGTGATAATTTGTTTGCTTTAAGCCACAGTGATACTTTATTGAGTTGAAGATTAATACTATTTAAAAGAATACATTTGTTTTCATGGGAAAAGAAAATGTTGCTATCATCTACAAATAAAATAAAATGCAGTAAGTTTTTTTTTTCTCTTTCGTAGGAGTTTAACCCACTTTTATTTCTTTCTCTTTTTGTTACTTTTCTCTTTTTTTCTGCTTCTAATACATATTTAAAAGAAAGTGAATATACAAAATAAAAACAATTGCACTTAAGAGGGGGTCAGTCCAAAATGGCTGACTATCTTTCTTTCTTTTTTTAACATCCTTCCACTTGTAATAATTTCTAAATATTTTTTACCAAGATGTAATTAACATTATTAACATCGTACATTAAAGAATTAATTAAAAAGAATTTAAAAAAAATATATATACATATACACTGCACATATACATAATATTATTTTCTTTTTAAATCCACCCTTTACCTTTCATGGGAATTTCATTCTCCTTTATTTCTTTCTCTTTTTATTATATTTTTTTTTTGGTATGGAATACACTCACATACATATACATTTCACACTCATCATATATATCTATATCCGTATACATCCAGGCACATACATACATATCCACACATACACATACGCGCACATATACAGGCACATATATATATATATACACCCCTATACACATACACAGGCCCATACATACACATATACATTCTTTAACACGACGCAATAATAAAAATTTTTTTTCTTAATTATTTTATTTTTATATACTTTTTTTTTCTTATATATAAAAAATAAAAAGAGGCGTATTATATTGATAATTATACGGTATTATATTTTACCGTTCTCGATAGAAGAGCATGATGATAATTGTGTAATAATATTAATAATATTAATAATTATTTTTATCCTTTTTTAAAAATTTATATTGGCCTAGGCCTATATTTTATAATTTTTTAAATTTTCTTTAATTTATTTTTAAATGGTTTTCAGTAGTGCGTATATGCACCAACTTCTACAATTTGAGTACAATATTATCTCATACAAGGTTTCATCTATTAATATTGTTTTTCTTACGGAGTAAACTCCAAATGCAGTTAAGTTTGAAAATATGGGTATATACATGGAGGCTTCATGATCAAAAGTTCTTGGCAGGATTTGGTTAGGAAAGGTAACCTTTAACCTTTGGTCCCTGGCGCGGCTGGGCTGCTAGGCTGCGGCTTGGTGCCTGGAATCGTAAATAGGCTATAAAGTAAAAGTTTGCGGAACGCTGATTTATACATTAAAAGAAATTACTAAAACTATGGTTTCTATAACATGTAAACGATCATTGTGAGATACTAGAACTCAGCTGCATATATCAGCATTTTCACACATATAAGATCCCAGTAGCAGCGGTAACTTTGTGTTCAGCCTAGCTGTAGCTGGTTTGAGATGCTTAGATTTTATGCTAAATTGCAATAATTAAAACTCAGCCATTTTTATTAATATTCAAAATATATAGAATGACGTTATATTTCAATATGCATATCTTTGCTTTCCAAGCACGGAAAGTGACCAAAGTTCATGGCAGATTGCCTGTGCAAAAAAATAAAAAATAATCGTTAATAATCAATAATAAAACGGGAAAAAATTAAAACAATGGCTTTTCCGCTAGTTCTGGAAAACCAATAAAAAGATCAGCAAATCAGTGGGCTTACTTGAGCATATAGTCTCTGCTGATCCATGTTCACTAGGTGGTCCATCGGTTTCTTTGCCGCCAACAAATCTTGAGTGTTGTGTGTAGAATTTAACAGTCGTGTGTAGTGTAGGCCTAAGATTGTCAATGATATATACACCGTTTTCAGTATTATTAACTGTAGTGAATGTACTTGTCTGCGATGTTTTATACCATAGCTTACATCCTGCAATATTCCCTGTTCCGAAGTCTTGAACTGGATCCCAGCCGCAGGCGGCAATCTTTAGGGTGGTTGCTGTTTGATTCAATAGTGTTGGTGGTTTGGAGCTGTAAGGTAGTGCTAATAACAATAACAATCATTATAAATATATATTTTAAATATAATTAGGGTGCAAGGGGAATTTTTTTGGGGGGGGGGGGCGACCCCTCCTTTAGGAAGGTAAAAAGAAAAAAAAAAGAAAGAAAGAAAAAGAAACAAATGATCGCCCAAAACACCTCAGAGGTTATTTTCGGGCGTCTAGAACACAAAAAGTTCGCGGGGAATGCACTGGACCGCCCCCCCCCCACCTCGATCTGCTCCACTTTTGGACATCTCTGCATCCGCCCCTGGGGTGGCGAAAGATACATTTAATGAATTATTTATAGGTATAACATGAGGCTTCATAAAAACAAAATATATGTTGGTTAATCTTGGAAATTCTATTGCAATTATACATAATTGAGATTTAAGCTCGATTTAACACAAGTAAATGTAAATTTTAAGACGTATATCGTTACCTATACTGCAGTCCGCTCCCGCCCATGCTTCGTGGCATCCATTGTCACAGCTTCCATTACGATTACAATCAGCCGAGTCTTTGCAATGACATGGATAGTTACACAACACACCAAAGAAACCAGGTGGACAGGACAAACCTGGCAGTAATTCTACAACAAAATGCGACATCATTGTTATCTTTAAATTTTGAGTCAAAAGGTATTAGTTAGGTCTAAATTAACTTTTTAACTATTACCATTAATGTTCACATGTACTCGTATTTTGAATTATTCAACATGTAGATTAAAATATGCTCAATTACTTTTATAATCGGCCCTAACAAACTAAAAAAATAGCAGTTTTAAATTACACAACTATAAACAAATATATGTTTAGAATCATTCATTATTTTTTCATCATGTTTAAACAGGATTTTTTCTGACCCTCTCTCCCATGAAAGAAATATTTAAAGACATGTAACATAAGACCTTATTTTTATCTTTTTCATGAAAGAGAACATATGCCTAGACTGTGGTCAACCTCTCCTCCCTCAAAGCGTATGTTTTTACTCTGTAGAAAGGATGTAATCATGTGTATTTCCTTAGAGTCCCCTTCATTTTAGGGCCGACTAGGTATTTTCTATTAAAATCAACAATTTGCACACAATTACTAAATGAATCGTAAGCATAATAGACAGTCATTACACATTCATTTTGTTATTTATTTAACTTTTTCACTCCCTAAATCCTCAGAATGTGACTTTGTTTACAAGGCATCATGTTTCTTTTCCATTTGTTAAAAGGGCTCCTGAATATCAGCGTGCCTGCTTGGTAAACTGGGTTACCCTCTATTAAAAAACAAATCTTTCAAGTCCTTACAATTAATCATTGGTGGTCGGAACAAGTGAAATTTTAATGTAACCTGGCCGTACGTTTTTAACCATATGTAAATTAAGTACTCTAAATAGGAATATTGGATATGCTTATTGCAATACAGTAGGCTATTAACTTTTCAATTGAATTAAGTTTATTTTGGATACAAGGTACACTATAATTAAAATATTTAATTACCTTTGTTGCCTATAATATGTAGATTAGTATTAGTAAGATTAGTAGGTAAGTAAGAATAATAAAATAAGCTTTGTTTTTACGTAATCATTACTATATTTTATACAAAATAAATAATATTACTCATAAAATTTGACAACTAAAATCTGAATATTACCTTGGCACGCTGGTCCCGTGTAATTATTCGAACAAGATGACCCAGATGCACAATTCCCCGTCTTTCTGTCACATTCACCTGAATCACAGTGACATACTTGACGGCAATCTGCTCCATAGTGACTGTTAGCACATGCTGTGGATTAGTACATTTTGGGAAAATCACATTGTTAGTCGATTAGTACCATACATTTAATCTTAATAATAATAATAATAATTCTGGATTTATATAGCGCCTTACATTGACACAACCTCGAGGCGCTTAACAACAACAGAGAAGAAAAAAAATAAATAAATGCAAAAGTACCAAAAAAAAAATTATTATCAAATGAACATACGATACGAGCGACAGTCTTTATTTAACTTTCAATTAAAATATGTAGAGTAGAACCTTATTGTTATTACTTGTTTGTGACCAGGGCCTGTGCAAGGCATTTTTATATAATTGTCTTCCTCTATTCATGAGTTTTGAATTCCATTGTGCATATTTGACTCATCACACTTTCACATTTTATAGGTTCGACGGCGAAAATAAAATAAAGCCTGTATATGCATTATGCAGTAATATACTGTAATATTAACATCATTTATAAACAAAAAGGACAACATAATTATAAAGAGTGGCCAAAAACATCTCAAACCTGTATTGCAATCGTTGCCTCCATATCCGTCGATGCAGGTGCATCCAAATGGATCAGGCGGACAAAAAAGCTTTCCTTTACAAGCTTCGTTCTTTCCATTAGCACAAACAAGATCACAATTACGACCCCAGTTGTTGCTTCCACAAGCTACATAAACAAAAAGAAAGTATAAACTGCAAACACAAAAACATAACATACTTTATGAAGAAAACACTACAATTTGAGAATGAACTTTATTTTTAATAGGAAGATTTAATTGTTACATTATTTTAAAATTTCTTATATATTTACTATTGAAATATATACATACATAGAAACATGTGTTTTACTAATTACTAAAATGTAAATTAAATTAAATTTATTTTAATTGTATTACATGTTTGGCAGTATTCTCCTTTGAAGCCTGCGGGGCAAATACAAACACCGGTCTTGTCGTCACAAACTCCACCGTTATAACACACTTGACAATCCATCTCACATTCAGGGGGACTCCATTTTGGCAGCGGACAATCTAAGTAAAAAAATGAATTTTGAAATATTTACGGGGGCCCAGGCCAACTGGGTTTCCCTTGAATCCGCCACTGCAAGGGGGAATCCCTTAACACTCAGGTGACCTAGGGTTTTAAAACACATTATTGTTATAGAATTTCTATAAAAAGACAAACGAACACATTCTTAAGAGATGACTTGACGGTTGTTATACAAGATACTCTGAGACACCTTGAATATCCACTATAAACAACATTATCACAAATAAAGACTTGTATGGAGATGCTCCCTTTGTATCAAGAACTTTGAGGGAACGATGGTGAGTCGAATGGCACAAGCTATAACCCTAATATCGGCACTGGTTCGAACGGCACGCTCGCCTTAGGTTCTTGTGGTAGAAGTCTTATCGGATAAGGACTATAAACTGTAGGCCCAGTGTATACAATGGCTCGTGTGCACTACAAAGAAATCCAGTACATCCTTTGAGACGAGTTGGGGATACCCCGGTGTACTGGAACAGCAGCCCTGTGATGTGGACGACAAGAGTGCTGGTACCGGTTACCAGGTAGCACAGACATGAAGGGACCCTTAGGGGAGAAGAGTCATTGTCGAGTTCCTAGTTCACATATCAAGCACCCTGAACATCTTGCATTAGATGGATATGTGCGCTATATAAAACTACACTATTATGATTATTGTTATTATATTATTATTTGCTGGACATTGCTACAGAAGTAAAAAGAAAAATAAAGTTATTTCAAGGGTTCTCCTATGGGAACCAGCCCATGGGAAAAGGAAGCAAAGAGAGCCCTGACTACATACATCGAGCAATTAGAAAAGGATCTAAACACACAGCTGCAGTACATTCCACAACTTATGGAAAACAGATATTTTGGAGAAACAGTCACAAAAACGTTATAACTTTGCTCATCATTAACCGGGTGTGCCGGATTGTAATCCTGGAATGTTTGCCCAGATTACAGTATAAGGTCAATGATTTTATTAAAAAAACAATTTCATTGATCAATAATTGCATAACCTGCACTTTTTATTATTTAAAAACTGCATAAAACAACTCTTGAATTAATCAGCGATTGCGTAAAACAACAATTTTAATACTACTAAATGATCTGATCATTACTGATCGATCTTTAGTTTTTTTCTACAGATTGAAGTACACACTCTTAATACTCAGGCACAAGTCAATTTGAGATGTTACAATATTGCATTCAATAGTAAATATTAGTCTATTGGTACACTGTAGTAATGCCCCTACATTGTCTGTTATCATCAATCAGGTCCAAAATGAAGATTTACATCCCATTCTTCAACTCTTGTAAGTATTGGGAGTAATACAAGGCACAAGGCAATTTGAGACGTTATAACATTGCATTCAATAGTAAATATTAGTCAATTAGTACACTGTAGTAATGCCCCTACATTGTCTGTTATATATCATCAATTTGATCCAAGATGAAGATTTACATCCCATTCTTCAACTCTTGTAAGTATTGGGAGTAATACAAGGCACAAGGCAATTTGAGACGTTAAATAACATTGCATTCAATAGTAAATGTAAGTATACTGGTACACTGTAGTAATGCCCCTACATTGTCTGTTATCATCAATCAGGTCCAAGATGAAGATTTACATTCCCATTCATCAACTCTTCAACATTTATTGTTGGTTTTTGGCCAGGTGTTTATTGGCCGATAATCAACACTAATAATTTATATTATTTGGAAATGAACATACTCTAATTTAGTTAAAATTTGTTAGTTGTTTGAGTGCAAAAGTGAAAAACTGACATCAAATAAAAATACTTCAAATACTCTAATAATGGATGTTATGATAATGGTCTCAATGGATAATAGTGCAGCTATACAGTAAAACCTCAAATTAAAGCCCTGTTCAATTTTGAGTACAGTAATAATTTAATCTAATCATCTTTTTACTTACAGTCTGCCTTCCAGAAAACTATGAAGGTTTGACAGTATGTTAAAAGGAACTCAGGATGATTTCAAGGTCCTTTTAGCGGCATATAGATGGATGAGTTATGTAATGGGTTTGGGGAAGTGTCATACAAAGCTTTGTAAATGAACAAAATTATTGTTAAATGTCATTCTTTGCACAATAGGATGCCAATGCAATTACCTCAGCACAGGGGTAATGTGAATTATGACTTGGTGGAGCAATCTTGTATATCATTTGCTGGCAAACCTAAAAGAAGAGAATTTCAACAGTCCATCCTCAAGGACACATATGCTTCTTGTATATAATTTTAATCAAACATATTGAATTGTCATTTATAGATGAATTTAACGTGCAGTATTTTGTATCACAATGTATTTATTTTTTTTAATGCTTGGTGATAATAATGTAGACTAGCAGCAAAAATCAAAATTAAATCAATATCACAGGCCTGACCCTTTCTATACAATTCTTTATTGCTGCGAAGCAGCCAATTCATATTCTTGACAGTAATTTGACCTCTGAAAGGTCATTGTTTGTCAAAAAACAAGGGCCTAAGACGACTGAAAAGCGGAGTTTCCTTCTTTCGTTCTGCCGGGTAAAATCAATTACTTTATGCGACGTTTGTAGACTAACCAACACGTACCAAAGTCTGCATGTCGCGCTAGCCTTATCCTACTCTAGGCCTAGACTAGCTAGGATGGTATAGGACTAGTTTGAAGGGACGAATGTCCCAATGAAAAACAACGTCGCTCCTTGATAGCTAACATTGTCTTTCTAACATCACAATAATTCATTATTAGACCTATAGTTGTTTTTTGAATTGTACTCCACAAATCTCAGCCGATACATCACACAACTCGAGTAACGTCTCGTATCTATTGTCATGATGTCATGCCTCGCTGGCTCACACTTACTTGTGATCAAATAACACGCTGGCTCGCACTTTGGCAACACTCTTTGGCAGTCAACTCGCCCCTAGAATACCTGCCCTTGGAAACTTGCCCCCATAAAAAAATGTACACCTCCTAGACCATGCAGTCTTCAAAATAAAAATTGTAACCTTTGGTAATCAACTACATTTTCCACATACATAGAAATTTTTGAAACTTTATTAAAAAAAACCTAAACCATAATTCACCACTAAGACACTTTTGACAAAAATGAAAAATTACGACTTTGTTACCCAATGAGAAGTGTTCTAATATAGACAATGGGTTGTGTCTCATATTATTTGTTATATTTTTATTATTCATTATTTTCACTTGATAAGTCCAGCAAACTTTGGTTGGTTGCATTTTTTTTTGCTATATTTTAAAAAAAAATTGGATATGATGTAGAGTAGAAATAGATAAATCAAAAAAGTATGTGCAACATTTTTTTTTTCATGTGTAAGGGGTTGTCAGCCGTTTCAAAATGACTGCCATTTTTTCCTAAAATTGTCACTAATATTGTAAATTTATGTCATTAAAATGCAGTATTCAATTGGAAATTCACTCATAACAATGACAGCAACAGTTAACTAAATATTGTTAATTTTTGAGCTATTACAATTTAAAATGGCTGCCATTTTCCATTATTTTAGCTTTTAGCATACATATTAATATAATAATAACCGACCTGTACAAAAACTGTGATAGAGCTAGTTATATGCAATTGCCATATGCCTGTCTCTTATACACATCTAGATGTGTATAAGAGACAGGCTAACAAAAGTTGTCAAAAGAATGGCAGAAAAGAAGAAAAGAGTTGTGTGGAGGGAGGGAGAGGTAAAAGATTTGATAGCAATCTGGGGAAGCCCAGAATTTAGAGATAGAATCGAAGTGAAAAATTGGAAAAGCAGTACTTCCGGCCAAAAAATGCTTGTATTCGAGGATGTGGCAGCTACTCTTCACAGCTTTGGTCACCCCCAGAAGGATGGTCATAATATCCAAACAAAAATCAAAGGTCTGAGATCGTCTTACAAGGCTATTAATGATAAGATTATAAGATCGGGATCGGGAACAGATTGTGTAGAAGACCTGTCTCTTATACACATCTTCTTCCTGGACAGTATCGGCACTTGAAATCTTCACGAGAGGCATGTGCTCTGTCTCGATGTCGTCCCAGACTTCTGGAATCTTCAAACCTCGAAGAACACTCTTCGCACCTGTATGAACGTTCTCCTCTCATCTCAACTGTGGCCTAATTAATAAAAAAAAAAAGAAGCAAAATAATAAACAAAAACATGATCCTGTGGAGTCCCACATTTTTTCCCCCGTGCAAAAATATTTCCCTTGTACTATTCGTCGTAGCGAGCGGGCCTTCTTCGTGCCCTCGGAAACCTCATAGGACGACTATGCTCTACTACAGTAACTGTCGGTGGTGTTACGACGTCCACTGATTCCTTGTTGATTTCGGGTGGACTTCCACTATCTTGTAGTTCCACCTTTAGTTCCACAAAAGCTTCCCCACAGTCAGTATCCCATGAGAATCTTCTGGCTTTCTCAGTTAGTTTATACAGTGGTGCTGCTATTGCAGCAAAACCCTTGATGAAACGTCTATAGTACGAGGCTAATCCTAAGAAACTGCGTACTTCTCTGACTGAGGTCGGTGTAGGCCATTCCTTTATGGCTTCAATTTTAGCCGGGTCAGTCATCACTCCGGCATGTGAAACTCGATGCCCTAGATACAAGACTTCCTGTTTGAACAGGGTGCACTTATTAGGTTTCAATTTTAGGCATGTTCCTCGTAATCGAACAAAGACTTTCCTAAGGCGGTTGATCTCCTCCTCTACAGTTTTCCCATACACGATTATGTCATCTAAATACACCAGTAGTATATACCATTGCAATCCAGATAGAACGTATTCCATCAGTCTCTCAAATGTTGATGGAGCATTACACAGCCCAAACGGCATTACCTTCCAGGAATACAGGCCCCCACGCACTACAAATGCTGATTTATCTTTCGCCTCGGCATCTAATTCAACTTGCCAATATCCTGAGGCGAGGTCCAAGGTGGAAAACCACCTGGCTCCTGAAAGTGCGTCAATTGAGTCGTTTATCCTAGGTATGGGGTAGGCATCTTTTATGGTAACTGAATTCAAACGCCTGTAATCCACGCAAAAGCGCTACGTCCCGTCCTTTTTCGTGACCAAGACAACATTTGATGCCCATGGGCTCTCCGAATGCTCAATCAGGCCTCTGTCTAACAGGTCCTGCACTTGCTGGTTTATCTGTTCACTGGCCTCCATCGCCTGGCGCCGGGGTTGTTCCTTAATTGGTTGTGCCGTTCCAACATTTATGTGGTGTTTTACTTTGCCAGTTCTCCCAAAGTCGTAATCTCCTCTAGAAAACACATCTTGAAATTCAGCCAAAAGTGATGCAACTTGTTCGTGGTATTTTCCGTCAATGGATGCCACACTCCGCTGCAACAGATCACAAAGGTGCTCGGGTACTCGTCCGCTGCTAACAGGCGGCTCCTTCCCTGTATGTGTCGATTCGATTTGGTCTTCTAATATTGGTGTTAGCTTGCCAACTGTGGTTCCCTCTCGAAGGACTCGTCGTTCTTTACCGGGGTTAAAAACGCATAACGGTAGTTGTCCGTCTTCAACCTTCACTACTGTCCTTGCTAGAATTAGGCCATTCTTAGCCAGCTCCTCTTCTTGGTTAGGTTCCACTATTCCTACTACCGGGCAGCTCGTCAACATTCGGGCGAACCCGGTAAGTATGTGTTCATGACCTGGTAATATCACAGTTGTATCTTCTATAATTACGTTCGAATTGAACTTGGTACCTTCGGGTCCAGTTAAACTAATTAATTCCCTTCCAATTTTCATCTGGAGTTTCCCCAGGTCCAATAACGATCCACTTGATGTGAGAACATCCATCCCTAGTAATCCAGCCACTTTTAAATTTGCAAAGATTACTCGAACCGATTGAAATGTCTGACCAATCTGTAGTCCCACGTAGGCACATCCTATGATCTCTAGTGAGGTCCCATCTGCTTGTTGAAGTTTCCTCTTTGCTCTCTGAAGTTCTGGACGTTTTTCTTTGGGTAATTGGTAATATAAATTGGAGGACAAGACTGTGTCGGAGGCTCCTGTGTCGACTAGTAGGTTAGCCTTAATTCCATTAACTTAGCTGGTACATACAATCCTTCTCTTGGGCTGTATTGTGAGTATGTCCTTTTTTTTCTCTGGCTGATTTATTGTGTCGTTGAAGTGGTTCTTCCGCTTCCTTGAGTATTTGATGGGTCCTCGGTTCGTTCCAGCCTTCTCCCGTTCCCGATTGACGTGTGTAATTTTTCGGGCAGCGTAGAGCAATGTGTCCCTCCTGTCTGCAATTATAACACACCAGTCTTCTCCTCTGTTGCCACATTTTCCCGTCCTGCCCAGCTGGGGTTTCGGGTACCGACATCGTCTGTTTTGAACGCAGGTTTGCCTCTATACGTCCCATCCAATCTGCTATTTTTCTCTCAAAGGCTACCTGCCTTGAATCTTCCTCTGGTATAAGCGGTCTAACATACTTCATAGGCTGTCTAGGGGGCCTTTCATCCTCCAATTTTAAGAAACTCTCTGTGGATAACGCTGCACGTATGGCTTCGTCTAGAGTGGAAGGTGCCGCTCGGAAGATCCCTTCTCTTATTTCCGGTCTTCCTACTGCCTCCATATAGTGCCCCTTCGCTAAGCGTTCCACTCCGGCCTCGTCAAATTCGGGATATGCCAGGTATGCTAACTCTCGAACAGCTTGTCCTAGCTCTTGAAGGCTCTCTTTTGGTCCTTGCCTCCTTAATCGTAATGTCATTAGATGGTTTTCTGCTTTCCGTCCGGGTCCAAATCGTTGCTCCAAAGCATCAAGTAATTCTGTGTAAGTGCTTTCCCGTCCTTGGCTAGCCCCCAGAACTTTCAGTGCCTGCCCCTTCAGGCTTGCCTTCAAGAATGCTCCTGCCTGCTTGTCAGACCATGCATTCGCTGCTTTACATGCTTCAAAATGTTGGGCGTAGTCCCTCCATGATGTCTTCCCCTCGTACCTATCTGGAGTAATTATCGGTTTTCAAAAATCGCTGCCAAATCTCTGAGAAAACGCTTCCTCGCCAACTATCCTTGGCTCCCTAGTTAAGGGCCATGGCAATGAGGATGATGTTGGGGGTTCCGTCTGTGTCGTCCCTCTCTTTTCAGTCGACTGGGCCATTGGTGGTCCAACCGAAGGTAGGCTTGAA